GTGACATAGAAACCCCCACGGGGCCCATCTTCGAACTTGACCTCGGCATTCTCAACGGTAACTTGCCCACTAAAAATAATGAACATACATTTAAGGATTCTCGAGATATCTTGATGACAAGGAAAAAACACCAAAAACCAAGGTCAACTACAGTGACTTAGGAACCCCCCACGAAGCCCATTTTTAGCCTTGACAATGGCCACCCCCAAATCAACCTGCCTGCCAAAAATCGTGAACCTCGGACCTTGCCTTCAAGAGTTATCGTGCCTAATCTGCCAAACAGTGCAAACCCGATTTCATAACCTTCTCCGAAGGCATAGCCTTCAGTCGAAGGCAACAAGATCGGGGGGACATGGCCGTGCACTAACATAGCAGAAAACAAAAGCGAGAGCAGAATTCTCTCAATAATACATAAACAGGTATTAAATACATTAAGTCATATAGAAACAATAATAATTAACTACTCTTCCAACTCTAGTCTAATGAGAGGCATAACGTTTCTGCCCGTAACTGTTTCACTTACCTGCTGTAATATGCCGGGGCACAGAAACCAAGTTGAACCTAACAGTTGATCAGAAGAGACAATGGAGTAGTTCTCTTCCGCACCGGCAGGTAGGGTTAAGAACTCCTTTGGGTTCTCTGACGCAATGACGTGGCAGTACACGCGGAGGGATACATCATTGTCCGCTGAAAAAGGGTGAAGGGTGTACTCGCCATCGTCGGCCGCAGGGTTTACAGACTTCACCTCTGAGCACGATGTTGCCTTGTGGCCTGGAACAATGATGTTTGTGACCAACAGATATGTGTTTGAACTGGTGACCCAGTCCTACTGTACAGTACAGTTCTAGAAGACAGGTATGAACCCTAGACCCAGTCCTACAGTACAGATATGTGTTTGAACCCCAGGCCCAGTCCTACAGTACAGGTATGTGTTTGAACTAGCGACCCAGTCTGGCAGTGCAGGTACTACAGTATGTATTGACTAGGGCAATCAGGCCACAGCAAGTAAATTTTATGGATGACATCCTCCGCAGACTCCAAATCTAATGCGAGCGGGCCGAAAAAAAACAAGGTTCGGATCCTACATTTTGAAATTTTAACTCAATAATTGTACAAATGGTTTTGATTCAGTGGGAGCATCACATACATGTATACGCAGCCAGCATCACATATCACTGCATCAAAGTAAGAAACAAACCATTAAATCAGAGCCTTTTCTTGTCTCTTCTCTTCATAGTTATCTGCCATCCACCTTCCGGCATGGCAACAGACTTTGCTCATTTTCGGCATGTTGACCACTGTCAGAAGGCAACAAAATATCTTGTTTTTTTTTTTTAATATTTAGGCGAAAATTAATGCGCGCGCTTATGTCATCCATAAAAATTACTTGCTGTGGCCTTACTGTGACAAACAAAATGTCACCAAAGATTCTCCAAACCACAAGAATCCTGTCCATTGTAAGTGTTTTAGCCGCCACAAATGTCACCAGGTAATCCTATACACCACTTCGTGACACACGTGAATGAGCTTTCCTGCGGTACATTGTTGGGGAGGGGGGGGGGTACAGGTACACGCACTTAACGGTGTTACGCGGGGTTACGCCAGGTTTATGTAAAAGTCGTTAAAAACTATAATCTATGGGAACATATCTGGTATTTTGTCAATCACTTCCCAACGCGGTGCCACGATACAGATTTCAGTTTTTAGTTACAGAGTACAGAACCGTTGGTTTATGCTCTTTAGAGGATTATACTATACAGCGGATACTGCAAGCCAACATCAGTCTCCTGTCTTCTCCTGGTATCCCATAACTTTGATATTAGTCTGGCGTGTTGTATATAACCTGTTGTCCTAGCACTATCCAGCAGTACAGTTGGGCACACAACTCCAATGGGCCGTCCTTGCCAATCGAAGGAGGGAAGCACGCTTGACTACACTTTACAAAATAACTCACTGTCACATGCACATACCTACGGAACAATGTCTTAAATCCGCCCAGCGACGTACCAGAGGCAGCCATGCCCCAAAATATCACCTCATCCCTGCACAACAACCTCTTCCCTGCTCCTGCCCTGCGCAGTACAGTTGGACACAACAAAACAACCCCCTCCCTGCGCAGTACAGTTAGCCCAAGGTACAGTTGGACACACAGTAGACACCCCTGGATGGTTGGCCAGACCCTCATCCCCCTCGTACCTCGGCCCAGTAGTAGTACTTTGCTAGTGTCCGGCCCAGCAGTCGGTACATGACCCGTTGTCCCACTAACCTGCAGTACAGTAGGACACAAAGTCCGCAGCACAATTACAGGTTGTCGCTGTAGTAAATGTACAGAAAAAAAATCAGCTGGCAAGTACTATGTCAAGTAAGAGTAACTGTGTGTACTCGGTTTTAAAGTTAAAGCTTTGTTTTAGCGCAACGTCAAGAAAAGAAGGTATATTGTGTACTTTTACCTTACCTTTACCTAGTCCCATCCTCATGTCTGAGGGTCGGGGACTATGGTGGCATAGTGTACTAGACTAAGTGTGACTAAAACGTCCACCTGTGGAACTGAAGAAATGTAGTAATAAAAATGGACTTACCTTCCACTCTGATATCCTGATTTGTCCAGCAGACGGACGTGAGAACAAGAAACTGTAAGACTCGGTTGAGTCCGAACGTGCAGAGCGGGTGACCAGAACGCTTCATGTTCTCCGGGCTGTTTTACAGTTTTTAAACCCCAGAATTCCACAGTATCACCGCCGTAATGTCCAGGCTATCTTCTACCAGGTCTTTCTGTGACGGAAATCGGTGTCACAGAACTTCTCAGACGCGTGGAGACTTTCTTGAAATTTCTTAGTCATTTCCGAACCACGCATTCTTCCTCGGGTAGTCACATTAGTGAACTTGGTGACGTCACGATTACGAGTGTTCCATTCAACTAGAGCAGAGGGGTTCACAGACACATGGCGTACACTTATGGCTGTCGCACGGCATGCCTTCCCATTTCTTTTATGCTTACCGAAGGAAAACATTGTTTTTGCTCAGTTTCTTCCTCTTCTTCTCCAGTGACCTCTGACCTAACCAATGACATGATTTGTTGACGTCTGTCCCCATGGTAACTGGTGTTGAGTTACATAATGTTGCAATTTCATGGTCTGCTCTGCTCCTGTCACCATATACTAGTAGTTACATGTATGTGAACGTGTTTGAGTGAAAATTGACAGAGCAGACCATGTCCGAAGGTAAACATTATGCGTTTACTTTGCAAATGTTACCTCTCTACATGTAGGTTTTTTTTTTTCTTTTTAAATCATGCAAAAATCGATGCGCGTTGAAGACGTCCAAACTACATGCATATGTGGGGCTACACTGTCTATATAGTGGGAGAAATCCATTCATTCATCCATATTAAGAAAGTGACAACGCACGATTCTCAAATTTCTCAACAAATGTCAAATTGCTCAACATAAGAAAATTCAATATGAAAATCATGATCAACAACTTAACGATAATCTTTGAACAAAACCAAACATATTAACGGTTTTCCTGTCGCACATATTGCGTATATCATTTGATCAATCAGATTTCACGGATATGCGACAAACGTATTGCAGAATATATATGCTGCGCTTGGTCAGCACAGAAAAGGCAAGTTTCGTTTGTAATACTGACATGTATTTAATAATAAAGCTCATCTAGTAAACAGGCTGAACCTATTATATTCTCTGGTTCTTGGTTCTAACACGGTCTAACACACTGGTTCTAACACACAGTGGTTATAAGTGTTGGAGGTTAGCCTGGGCACCATCCTATTTGTATGCCGGGGCTCCCATAGTCACTCCCTAAGAATATTTTAAGGGAGCAAGTATAGGAGACCCGGCATACAAATAGGACGGTACCCAGGCTAGTTGGCAGTGTTCAGTATGGGGAATTCTTGTTAAGGTTCTGTCTTTAAGTTTCTTTCGTATTTAAAATTGTGGTTGCTATTTGCCAAGAACCAGAGAAAGAATTGGTTCTGCCCGGCATCAGCTCCATACCTTCACCGGAAGTTCTTTCACAAATTATGGTCTCAGAACCAGAGAATGCGGCCCGACTTGTCGCACAGCAGCGTCAGCAGCTTGGTCAGCGTGGCCGGCCGTCCCGTCTACAGAAATTCATCCATCGTACGCCGAACAGGCGCAAAGTCCGAGTCCTGCTTCGGCTCACTGAACCACGGCACGGGCCCGAATGATACTCCTGCAACAAGAAATGGAAGGTTGATCACATTTCTGTACGTGTATTTAGAGTTGTTACGAATTTGTGAAATTCTGATTCTGTTTGGGCTCGCTGAACCACGGGACGGGTCCGAATGATACTCCTGCAACAAGAAATGGATGGTTGACCACATTTCTGTACGTGTATTTAGAGTTTGTGAAATTCTGATCCTGCTTCGGCTTGCTGAACCATGGTACTGGGCCGAACGAAACTCCTGCAACAAGACATCATACTTAAGGTTGATCACATTTCTGTATTATCGTTTTATTCGTAGTGTGAAATTCTGATTCTGTTTGGGCTCGGTGAACCACGGGACTGGCCCGAAAGAAACTCCTACAAAAAGTAATCAAAAGTTGATCACATTTCTGTATTTAGAGTTTTTACGAACTTCTCATTCTATTGCAGCAAAACTCCTGGAACAAGAAATCGAAAAACCGGTCACATCTGTGAAGTTTTCAGAGTTTGTTCACGTTGTTATTTACCTGCGCTATAGTAACCCTTGATCTGGCTGGCAAATCTGCCGGGACTCTCCATGTTGCTCTTTGTTTATTTGTTTATGTTTATTATTTACCTGCGCTATAGTAACCCTTGATCTGGCTGGCGAAACTGCCCAGACTCTCCATGTTGCTCTTTGTTTGTTTATTTGTTTATGTTGTTATTTACCTGCGCTATAGTAACCCTTGATCTCGCTGGCGAATCTGCCGGGACTCTCCATGTTGATGTTTGTTTGTTTATTTGTTTATGTTGTTATTTACCTGCGCTATAGTAACCCTTGATCTCGCTGGCGAATTTGCCCGGACTCTCCATGAAGGAGCTGAAGCTCTCTGCCGAGTCCTGCTTGAAGATCTTCTTCAGACACGAGTACGGCTGCAGGCACTTGTACAACTTGGTCATGTTACGGAAGTACGACACCAGGTCCTTAAAATCCTGCTCCTTTCCCTCCTTCATAAAGGCTCTGCAGGGGAAAAACAGAACATGGTCTCGGTCCAGTATTAGCTCACCGAAAAGCTGATCTCCCACTGGTTGTTCTAAAATTCGAAACAGGTTCTAAAGTTCGATTTTCGCCTTAAAATGCAACTTTTTTCACCAATTTTTTGCCAGTAAAATCATTTTTTGAGATCTATGTTGGCTAAAATGACCACAGTTCAGTGTCTTATGTACCAACCTACCTGCACGTTGAATTTCATTTTCTTTCAGGCTCTAATTACGAAAATATCAATGTTTCTTAGGTGTTTGGAATGGAAGAAGAAGAAGAAGAAACTGAGCAAAAACAATATGTTTTCCTTCGGTAAACATAATAAAGGTCATATTCATTTGAGAAAAAAAGGAATTGATACTAGTGACTCATGATTTCAAAATGTTGCCGATTGATAAGTTACAGTGGATAGTGTCTGTACGTTTAGTAGTACTCAAGCTTCTGCTACTAGGTTCACTCCCTGTTCTTGGTTGCACCATGATTTGTAAAGACAATAACAGTTACTACACAGTGTGGATTGTTAAATCTACGATCTGAAGTACAATTATTAGATAAAAAGTCATTAGTTTCATTCTTTCTCTCTCAATTCTAAGCTCCCAAACAACAATTTTTGGGGCAAATACACAAACTTCAGTTTTACAGTGGTATAACTGTTTTTAACTCACAAACTACATCCTACTTACCTTATGATTTAATAGCCCACTCTTAAATTTTGAACCGGTAAATTTTAGTTTCTTATCATTTAATACACGACATAGTCAGAGGATGCCATTCATATCAACGTGGCCTAATAGTAAATAACCATGGTGTGTTTCTGTGAAAAATCATATATATCTCAGTGGTCTGACAGCTAATTAACACTCAACGATCGCTAAGTTATTCCTATGATCTTTCCATGATCTCTAAGAGCAATTATTACTTTCTTTGTCGCTCAACTTAAGAAATGAAAATTGAATCACGGTTTTCTACATGTGTGTACGACTCTGTGGCATCAGATACAATTTTAGTATCTAAGAATTCAGTGATGGCCTGATCTGTTTGATCATGACCACTGGTCCTTACAGTAGGTGTGTATCCATATAGAATCAAATCAACAAGGCCTACTAGTAAAGTAAACATCCAGGTTCGGTTTCTGTGAAAAAGCCAAAAACCTACAGATTTCTCAGTGGTACCCGTCTTACAGCTAACACTCAACGATCACTAAGTTCTGCTAATAGTCTTTCCATGATCTACAAGACCAATTATTATTTTCGATGTTGTTCAATGGCTACCCAACAGTCACTTTATAAATGAAAACTGAATCATGGTATTTCTGTATTTGCGTAGAACGAATTTGGATGCGAGGCAGTCGGCTGTACGCCATAAGATATATTTTCAGGCTGCGAGGTAGGCAGCTTTACTCCGTAAGATGCACATGTATTTTTCAGGCTGTGAGGCAGTCGACTGTACGCCATAAGATATATTTTCAGTTAGTAAGAATTAATATATTCAGTGACATCCTGCTTTCTTTGATCCTGACCAGTGGTCAGGTTCGTGTTAGATTCAGTGATTGCCTGACACTGGCCTCGCCCTATCTGATCATGGCCACTGGATATTTCTGTACATGTTGGACCCTTTGGTGGTGTTTTCACACCTACATACATAGGAGTTGGCTGAAGGGCAGCAAGCAATGCATGTGGTACATTTCTAATGTCCAAAGATGGAGTGGTAATAATCTGAGAATGGTCCTGCTCCGTCTGACCATTGGTATTGGTCACTACAGTACCTGTGGTGTTTGTGTTCGATTTACTGATGGCCTGAGACTGACCCGGTTCTCGATAGTTGTCAACATCTTCATATTGGTGATCTTGGCTACAAGCTACAACAGATGTAGTGTTTGAGGAGGATTTCTGAGACTGACCCTGCCCTGTCTGATCTTGGTTGTCAATATCTTCATACTGGTGATCATGACCACTGGCCGCTATAGCGACTGTAGTCAGTTTGTTTTCGATTCAGTGCATGGCCTGGGACTGACCCTGTCCTGTTTGATCTTTGTCAATATCTTCATACTAGTTATCATGTCCACTGGCTACTACAACAGCTGTAGCTTGTTCTGGAGGATTTAGTATTGGTCCAAAACCGACCCTGTCCTGTCTGATCTTTATTGTTAATGTCTTCATACTGGTTATCATGACTACTGGTCATTACAAAAACGGCTTTACTAGTAGTGTGTTTACCAATTACATGCATGAGCATTGGGATCTTGTACAAAGAGAGGATCCTTGTTCCTTCTCTTGTACCAAATTGTGGCAATGGCGCCGATCATAAGGACAATGCCAAATACTGGACCACAGACAGAGCCAATGAGGACAGGTAGGGGGGATTGGGAGAAGATTCGTGGGGACGGATGCTTTTTTGTTTGTCAGATGTTATTGCTAGAATGAAGTTAATGATGCTGTTGACTCATTCGTTTTGCCTGAAAGACATTCTGTCGAGTCAGCATTTCGTTTAAAGTACCAGTGATAGCGAGAGGCAACACTATCATTGAAAATGGTTGGCCCCTCACATATCAATTCTTCAGGATTGAGCTCTGCAAGCCTTTCTCCTTGGAATTTCGGGGGTTGAGCACATTTTATCTGGTCTTTGAATTTAGTTGAATACATCCTGAAGGGCAGCATATTCAATTCCCATATGTCGTGAAAACTTGATCATATGATAGCCAAATTTCGTAGTTTTGTTTCCACGGTCACTTTTGTATTTAGCCCTTTGGGGCAAGAATATGTTCATCTGCTATTAACTATGTGCAATTTCGGTTGTAGTACCTAATGGAATGTAAGGATTTATAACATTACAAGCAAAACACCAGGCCCAAAGTTTTACACACACACATTTATTATATCGCATAATGCTATAATTTTGCATGCATTCTGACACAGATGACAATTTCCATTTTAATTTAAATCAATTTTTGGTACCCATTGAATTGTATCATCATTCTTTATTATTCGATTCCGACTGCTCACGTTTATCTAATAAATACCTTTCAAGTTTCTAAATGTAGCAACATGCATTGCACCCCACTTGTTTACGAAAGAACAAAATTAAGGAATCAAGAAATTACTAACTACCACCATCTAGTCCTTTGACCAGTCCAGAATTATCATATTTAGTGAACACCAAGTCTCCGGGTCCTAGATGACGAATCCCACCAGGTTTAATTCTATTTTCTAGATGTAACGCTGAAAGGTAAAGATTATCAGATATAAAGATCAGTTTCTTTCTAAGCCATAGATTCGACTAAATGACTGTATATTATACACTCATGTGCTGGTTACCTTGATATTCAGAAAAATTCCAACAGCAATATAACCATTGAGTGGTTTTCTGATTTCAAAAATACATTTTCATATTCTAGTTGGAATTCATTTGTATCATAGACGCAAAATGTCAGTGAGAAAATTAAGTACATGGCTATATATACTTATCAGTACTGATGACCCTGTGTATGGAATGTATTACGTTGACGTGCGATATTTCTATATGAGAACATCACCTTTGGACACCTCTTGTCGCTTCTTTTGGCGAACTTCAGGCAATTGCAGCATGCAGAGAATGGTGAATGATGGGAATGTCATACTTGGGACATCTGTAACTTAATCAAAAGTTAACATACATCGTGATGCATATATCATGTTAATGCAGAGGTAATTTGCATAATTAAAGAAGAAATTTACATTTACATATTAAGCCCATATTTCATGGAGGTATGAGATCTCGGAATTCTTGTTGCTGAATGTAATAAAAACGTTTTATTTTTGTGTCATAGGCACTTTAAGAACATAACATAGCCAATGTATCCAGACCAGAACCTATCCCGTTCCTATCACCTAGGTCTATGCCTAAATTGGTTAGGCACAGTTCTGGATAGTCTTCGTGTATCCAAGAACGCGACTTTGCCCCAGGCACGGTTCTGGAAACACGTGGACTATCAAGAACGGTGCCTGAGCATGTTTCTGGATCAAGGACGGTTCTGGATACAGCAACAATCCCGTCAGGTCGTCTAGAGCCATATGTCGGAGCTACAGTCCCCGCCCGGGTAGCGGACCTCGTGAGCCAGGACCGGACCGTGAGGCTCCTGCCCGAAATCCACCAGGAAGTTCTGGTTCAGAGACAAGCCTCCAATGTCGGTGTTGACGTCAACAATGAACATTAGGGAACCCTCTCTGTAGAGGAAAACAATGCATACTTTTAAAATATCATAATAAAGAAAAACAGTTACCCATTAAATCTATACAAAAAACTCAACTGGCTGAAGCCAGTTGTAATGTATACTGCATCAATCTATATTGAACTTTGTTGAACTAATTGATGCAGATTACAGCTTCATCTAGTTAAAATGTTTGAAAAGACTTAAAAAAGATATCTTTTGTTATGTAAATATATAATACATTTAAATTGTGGTATGGGTCAATATTGAAAAGAAACTTAAAAATATAATATTAGTATAACTAGAACATCAATGGTCTTCAAATATGTTGCACGTTATCGTATTTTAGCCTTGTTACTTAAGCTCCCGAACCTCTAATTTATCCTCTTCGCAAACAGAAGAGAAGAAAGACCATTTGCGGATAGGATAAAGATTTGGGAGCTAAAATAGTCCTGGTATTCAGCTTATACAGCTTATCTTAGATCATGCATGTACTTAAGTACATGTAGGTAATTCTGATAAAACTCACTTGATCATGTCCGGGTAAAACTGTTTGTCCCAGCCGCTGTAGAGAGAGGTGGTGACGTAGAGCCGTTTGCCGTCCAGACTGAGCTGCAGCATCTGCGGCGCTGAGCCGGCCTTCACCCGCCCGTTCAGGACCAGAGGATCCGGCTGCTGGTCCAGCTCCTCGTCATGTGTCACCCTCACAGGACCGCCCTTACAGATACTCCCGCCGAGGAACAGCTGTAAACCGAATTCGAACAGTAGGTTGAACCATTCTTTATTCAAGAGAAGCTCATGTCGGCCTGCAAACCGCTTTTTATTGAGGTCATAAGGGAAGGGTTAGGTAATATATATATATAAAATATGAACTTTACATCAATTAAAGTACTAATTGATCTACTATTATACACACACATATTTATACATATATACAGTTCTATTAACGGAGCTATTTCACTCACTCCACTCTTTCAACTAGGCAGGTGCCAACCGCCATGTTGGTATCCTATTTGCATTTTCTAAAATGTATATAAATATTAAGTGACACATATTTTCCTCTCCTTGAGTTCCACCATACGATGTTTCTTTTTGAAGGGAAAACAGCCTTGTTGCTTTTCGTTCTTCCCTCTCACCTGCCCGACCAACTTGGGGTTCCTGCAGTCCGTGATGAGCCCTGATATTTGGGATACAAAAGAAAACATTTTGACGTGTAAGCTTTATTGATAAGTACAATACGCTGTAATGTACTTATCAATAAAGCTTATGCGTATAAATGTTTCCATGACAACATTATGAACTTATATAGTGTATGTTCTGTCAAGGCCTGTGCATATTGATATCCTGCAAAAGAATTCTACCGAAAACCTTATTTCTCAATAAAATGTTGTCATGAATATTTCCCGGGATGGCGCGTTGGGCCTTCCTTACATTTTGCTCCCTCCCGGATATTCATTTACCTGGCATCTCAGGCAGAGCCCAGCCTTCCACCTTCTTACTCGGGATGTCGATCACCTTCTCTGTTGCCCAGTCACCTCTCTAAAGGTGAAACGTTACATGTTATCAACTGCAAGTACGAACTAGGGAGAAATAAGGGATATGCACCAAATCAACGTTCAACAATATTATTGGTATTTCAAATTGGTTCATTGCACAAAAGCATATTGCAGCCTGACGGCTGAATTGCACGCTCATTTACAATCTGTCAATGGAATAATAACCTTTGACTGAATTTTTTAAAACAAGTACAATTCTAAAATCACTCTAATTGTAGCAGTGTGCAACAAATCTAAAATCACACGAAAAGTAGTATTTCAGCAATATGTAGTTATACAAACTTAGTCAACTAATAATAACTTGTAGATGATTTGTCTGGGGAAGTCTCAGTACATTAGGAAGGCAGGCCATACAATCGTGAGAAAGTTCTATTGCAACATATAACCTAAACACATCAGGTGTTAGATACTCGAAGCGTAGAGTTGTTACTACTAAGAGTCATTACTGTATGAATGTATGAATGACATTGAATGTCTTTTGTTTTTGCTTCTCATTGATTGGTTTCGTATTCCCTGCGGAGGTTGTAGTGATTGGCCGAGGGGGTAGTGATGAATCCCCAAAGAGGAGAAGTACTGTCCTGAAAGATACTTTCAAGTGTTCTCAGTGCAGCTCTCTCGTCTGCTTGCTAGGGTAGGGAGTGCGTCAGCAGGTAGCCCGATGATCCTGAGGCAACGCTTCTGGATCAATTCTAGTGAGTCTGACAGGTGTTTGGGCAGTCCGCCCCAAACTGTGCTACCATACTCAAGAATAGGTCTGATGAATGTCAGGTAGATCTGCATTAGGATATCTATCGAGAGCCCCGCCTTCTTAGCAACACTATTAAAGGTTCTAGGTCGAGCTCTGTTCAGCATGTACTCAATGTGGGCGTCAACGTCAGTTCGGCAGAGATATGGACCCCGAGTAGTTTGAAGGAGGTGACTCTTTGGATCACCTCGCCGGATATTGTGGGTTGGGGGGATAGGTACATTGGGCTCTTTCCTTGCACTTAAGACCACGTCTTTGATTTTCTTCCCGTTTACGGCAAGAGAAAAGGAACTGTCAAGTCATCAATAGAGTTCAGTGCCTTTTAAGTCTGGCCGGACAAAAACCCCATCAGTACCTCATCAGCATATTTGACAATGGCGACAGATGCTGGCATACTGGCATCCAGCGAATTGATACATATTACGAACAGAAGCGGTGACAGCAGCCCGAGTAGTATAGGGTGGACAGAGTAGGTATTATTGTGGCGCGTGGAGTGTGGCGCGTGGATGTGGCGTGTGGAGGAGCGCAGCGGGGCAGACTGGGTGTGGTCAGGCGGAGGTGTAGAGGTCACGTGAAGGTCAATGTGGCATACCAGTCGCCGCGGGAGGGTGTGTCGGGCGGCATCGTTACTTAAGGATGGACAGTTTGTATCCCCAGGAGGTCGTGCTGGGCATGGGTTAATCCTTTGTTCTTTTAATTAAGCCGGGACCTGTTGATTCCCAGCGCGGTCACTTCAAACCTTTCTCACGCGTCCCGGGAGGGCGTGTCGGGAGGTATTATCTATTAAGGGTAGGTTGTGTATGTCTTGCTGTGTCAATGCTATTGTTTGCTGATTGGTTAAGAGGTAAGAGGATATTTTTGTATAAAGCCAGGCAAACTGTGACAGTCTTAGATTGCGACCTGTCCACGCTTCGACACCTATTCGATTAGCGATGGCTTCTACAGATATCAGGAATTGGCTGAGCCGATCTATACACGAGAGGGATATCACAAGTTGTTCTACCGATCCTGTACCGCTTCAATGGCAGAAGTTACGAGGAGAAAATTTCAACTGTGATTACACGGTATTGTACCGTCCAAGTGTTGCTTCGACCCTGTTTCAAGCGTGCGAAGAGGAGTTTGTGTACAACACTGGGGACTTGGCTCGAGTTCAGGTCAGAATCTCTTCAATCATTCTGTGTAACTCTTGTCTATTTTGCCAACATCGTTTTACAACCATACACCAATACCTATCAGCGCTGAACGTACGATGTATAACCTTCTTTTTTGTAGATCTTTGGAAAGTATCGTGACATCCCAAGGAAACAAGTTGCTTTTGGTGACCCTGGGTTATCGTACAGATTTTCCGGGGTAGAAATCCCGGCAAGGCCTTGGTCACCGCTGTTAAGGACGATCAAAGACAGAATACAAGAAGTAACCGGGCAAGAGTTCAACTTTGTCCTTATCAACAGGTAAGGCACTTGTGATTGATCTGTCTGTGACCTTGTTGAGGTGTTAGATCAGTTGTGTAATGGTGTAGGGATTTGTGTTGGTAACGTTATTTCTGTTGGTTTCACAGATACAAAGATGGTTTGGATTACATCGGAGAACACAGAGATGACGAAGAAGGGCTAGTACAAAATGCTCCAATCGCTTCACTGTCTCTTGGACAAAAACGAGACTTTCTTTTCAAGCACTGTGATGCACGCGGGAAGTACAAGAAACGTGTGGTAGAGCCGATTAAAATAGAATTAGAACATGGTAGCCTCTTAATGATGAACTATCCAACCAACCGATTCTGGTTTCACTCGCTACCTGTCCGGAAAAAGGCAACAGGAGCAAGAATAAATTTGACCTTCAGAAAAATGGCTTAAAACATATGACCTTGGTTTGACCTGTATACATGTACATTCTGTTTATGAGGCTCTGAGGTATCACATAAGGCTGTCACTGAACGTGCAACGTCATTCTTACGAAGATCACCAACCATGCCGCACGAGTGTGACGTCTGTGGCAGAGAGTTCAGTCGAAAAGCAAACCTCGCACGTCATCGCGATACGATACACGGAGACGTGGCAGAAATGTCTTCGGGAGAAGAGAGCATGGACACCGAGCCGGGTTCTTACCGATCCGCTGACATATTTGACGACACCGACGACCTGTCGGAGGAGGCAACGACAGAGCATGACACGGAGTCACTTGAATCTTACGAGGAATGTGAAGTTTCAGAAGAAGATGAGTCTGTGGTGGACTCTCAGGAGGTAGAGTCAGCGACAGAAACTGACAGCGATCAAAGTGGTTCCGAGAGTGATGCAAGCTCGATGGTGTCTTCCAGCCCGGCTCCTTCTGATGAAAGTGAAGAGTACGGCTACGACAGTGGTGACGAGGAAGAGTGGACCCTCTATCGCGACTGGACCATTCCACTAACTCACGATCCAGGCGATGTCCCTCAACGCGTGATCAAGGAGACAAAACGCGCTGGCAAAAAGTTTATTCTTGTAGAATTTGCTGCCTTGCCTCCACTTTACAGTTATGAGATAATTCACAGCAAGAACTGGGTCTCAGAGCAGACATTGATGAAAAAATACGGCTTTCTTGTTCTGAAGTAATACAACATTGTCCTTCCATCGATAGTAACATTTTCCTAATAGCTAATGCACTGTTGATACACATGTACCATCTCGTCAATAGATAGATATTGAAAAGAGTGATTCACGACATTAATATGTACGTAATGAGTGACTCACGACATTAATATGTACGTAATGAGTGATTCACGACATTAATATGTACGTAATGAGTGACTCACTACATATGTAATATGTACGTAATGAGTGACTCACTACATTAATATGTACGTAATGAGTGACTCACTACATTAATATGAACGCAATGAGTGACTAATGATAATATGTACACAATGAATGACTCACGATATCGTTATGCACGTAATGAGTGACTCATCGTGTTATTATGACAAAGCTTTATAGTCATGAAGCGAATAAACACAATATTACGTCACAGGAATAATGTTTGTTGTTTTTGATCAGTATGTGTGGTTGTGTGGACTGTCAGACGTAGGAAAGATAGTATAAATATGGGTGTCGCACGACTTAAGAGTCATTCGCGAAGATGAATATTCAGTTAAAGTTGCCATGTCGCCTCGTCTGTAGCGGATGCTCTGGGTCAGGGAAGTCGTACTTCGTACAGAAACTGTTAACGTCGGGAGCTGAATGGTTGGATCCGGGACCGTTCGAACACGTGGTGTGGTGTTATTCAGAATACCAGGAAAATCTTCACAGCGAACTCAGCTCTAAATTGGGGCCAAAGCTTCAGTTTCAAGAAGGTCTTCCTGAAAACTGGAATGACGTTACGAAGCCGGGATGTCGTAACGCTATTGTAATTGATGATCAAATGGAAGACGTAGTGAAGGGAGACAAGGTCACAAAATTATTCACTCGGGCCAGCCGTCACAGAGGCATATCGGTTTTCTTGTTAGTGCAAAACCTCTTCTACCAGGGGCTCAGAACGATCAGTCTTAACTCTAGTTATATCGTCCTGTTTAAATCTCCCAGAGATCAGAGTATGGTTACTACACTGGCCAAGCAGATGTTCCCCGGACATAGCAAATTCCTGCAAGAATGTTACGAGGACGCCGTCAATAAGAAGACTCACGGTCATTTGTTCCTTGACCTGCATCCGGAATCACCTAATGAGTTGCGCGTGAGAAGTGGTATGCTCACCCCTCAACCCTACGTGTACCTGAGGAAATAATAAAACGCCGTGTCGAGCACTCTCAGCTGTCACAACGAGTCGAGATGTCACATAGACTACATCGTCACGCAGACTGTCTTCGCGTCTTGAGCAAAGCCAACCCCAAATTGCGGAAAGCTATTCTGTCGACAGCCCCAAACGATCTTCTAAAGTCGATTTGCGACTGTTCACACAACGTCCTGAAAGGAAACATCCGTCTCACACCAGGACAAAAGAAAGGCCTGTCCCGACACAAGAGCACTCTACGCCAGCTTGGCGACAAGAAAATTCCACTGTCCAAGAAAAGACAGACGTTGGTTCAAAAGGGCGGGTTCCTGTCCCTGCTGCTCAGTCCGATCATTTCGGCCATCACGTCTCTGTTTGGTGGGAAGAAATAACGGACAACTGCGTCATGGAGTACGGCAGAAAGATGGCCCTTGTTCCTCAAGAATTGCTTTCCACGATCCAGGCCAAACAACAGGAAGAGATGACCCCACTGGTGAAATCGGCTTTAAGTGTGGACGGTCAAATGCAAGACGTGATGTCGCGCCAAGATTTAGGCGATGACGAGAAAGCAACACTGTACCAACAGCTCCTCCAGCGGTATCTCACGTACAGAGACAAACGACGAGCCGAGCCAGTCAGTGTCAGGTTGGTAACTTCGAACTCCACCCCTGCTGCCACCGTCACCGCTACGAACAATGTCGCTAAAGATGAAGGGTCCACCACCACCTCTCCCAGCACCGCCTCGGCTACCGGTAAAGAAGACAAGGCCATATTGGCGGCTTTCCCCAAAACCATGAAAGCGCGCGCCCAACAGTTGCTCAACGTCATCAAACACAAGGGAGGGGACATTCTCGATTACAACCAACACGGAGAGCTTCTCTACGATAAACAAGTAGTTCCCGGATCCCAGATCTCGGATCTCTTAAGAGATGTGATTCAACGGAGACAGAATTTCAACCCCATTGGATGGCGAGCCTTCAGCAGAGGGCTGGCACGCATAAACACGCCAGAGGCCGCCATAAGACACCCAACCCGACTGGCTGTGATTAAGAAACACAAGGCGCGTGCTGCTCTCGGTGACACTCTTTCAAGCGGAGAAGAAGAAGACGACATCGTGCCGACTCCTCGACCTCCACAACGCCGTGGTTCTAAACGGATTCCCGCAAGCAAGGCAAAAGGTCTCGTCGCGAAACCCCCCTCGTCTGCCAAACAGTCCTTCACAGAAACTGCGTGGAAGTGATCACGTCGATAGTACCAAATAAAGTTCACTGTGATTGAAATACAGATCTAATCTTGTATTACTTGTTTGTCAGTGTACATGTGTGTGTGTGTGTGTGTGAATTGTGTTCAGCACCAAGGACAGGTGTGTGTTTGTGTGTGTGTGTGTGTGTGCGTGATTGATCGATTGGTGGCTTTATACGTTATGAATGAAAGGCGACGCGAGATATACGTTTTCATAACATTTATTCGTTACAACCTTCTACGTCTACTACAATGATAAGTATAGTTAACTCCAGGTATTCAACTGCACGTATACAACTAATGACAAACTTGTCTACCGTAGTGTGCGACAAACGTCTTCTAAGGCACGAGCGACTTGGCTCATGATATGACTCAGGTCAACGACGGGAACGTCGATGTTAAAATGTTCTTCTATAAACTGAGCTACGGATACATCGTTTAATTCTTGATTCCGGCTAAACATATCGACTATACTCATTAAGGGAATACGTCTACATCTATGTAAGAGGTAGAACAGACAGTGCTGTCCACAGGTAGTCGACCATCTGGATTGAATCTGACGTTCGTTACGAATCCACGGAAGTCTAGAGTTTCTACGCAAAAACAACTCTATGGAGCGGGGGTAATCTTTAGGTGCGCGCCCATAGGAATCAAAGAATTCGCCCCGCATGGTGTCGTCGAAGTAGAGGGCCAACCAGTGCTGTCCCGGCTTCCCACTGTCGTCTGTGTTTACCACGTAGGCGCTCGGGTAGTCTGGTACATTTGTCGGTAGTTGGTCTACTGCAAAGACTCCGCGAGCGATGGGGGCCGTGTTCTCGTCGCTTTCAAGCACGCTGTAGATCTGTTTTGTGTCCATGTTTAGTTGTTGTAGTCGAAGGTGACGATCCTCTGCCTGTTGATTTCCAGGAGGTTATCAAACTCTGCAAAGATCAGAGCAACTACCGTCTGTTCCAGAGCCTTGGCAAAGTGAAGCTCTAGTCGGAGGTTCCCCTGTTTGATTACGTTGAAGTGATCTCCTCCCAGTCCGCACAAGTCCGGACTGAGATCGTAGCAGTAGATGGCATAGCCCTTGTCAAAGGCGTCTCTGGCGATCTGGTTGCCGGAATCCTGCCCCAACTTTCCGATAGGCCCGAAGAGGTTGAAGTAGGACCTGATGAAATGACCGCCTTCGAAGTTTGGCGTCAGCGCTTTGTGGGGTACTTGGCGTCCATCGATACACAGACTGATGTAGTTCAGGTGGAAGTGTTGAAAATTGTAGGGGTTTGTCCCATAGGACCCTTGGAAGTCGACGTTGCTCACCAGGGCGATGGCCAGTCGTTTGGGGATCTGCCCCAGGAAAAGGTTGTCGTTGGACACAGTGTGGTTTCCCTGAGGGATGGTGAAGGGTTTCACTTGGATTCTCTTCAGAGGGTACTTAGCGCTTTCTTTGTTCAGTCGGTTTTCGATGGACAGCTGATATGTTGATAGCAAGTTGACCTTCCGGAGAAACAGGGCGGCTCCGGTGATGACGACTTTGTACTGTTTGTTCTGCTCTGGCGACATCAGGTTGAACTGATGTTTGGATCGATGCAGCTTGATTTTCATATCTACCTTGTTGAGGAGGTAACGGTCTTGAAAAAACAAATCCACGTGTAAAGGACCGATGAGATCTACCTCTCGGCTCCCCCGGGTCATGGTGGCTCGCTTTACCAGCCCGGTGTTCACCACAGCGTTTGGGGCTGTTGGGAAAGGGTCTACCATGTGAAGGCGCCCCGGTGTGTCTTGGTAGAAGAGGGCAGAGGTCAGCTGTGTCTGTTTTGCGTCTTCTCCGTAGTTCAACAGGTTTTCGAAGTAGGCTCGATAGGGATAGGTATTTGTGGAGTCCGTTACGATCTTATTTCCCAAGGAGACGTCAATTTGCTGAAACAGCGAGTGGAGCCATAGGTTGGTCGGTCCTACTTTTTCTCCATCGGGCAGGTCGTCTCCATTAGCGCAGACAATCTTGGCTCCCACGTACAGCTGAGTTTGACTCAGGTCCGTGTACTCTTCTCCGGCTCCCTGAATGTCGAATTCTATCGGCGACATTTCGGCAAGACTGGAAACAGGATGGTACTCTACCCATCTACCATCGAGAATGGTGGTCTGCGTGGGGGGAATTTCAAAGAGATCGAGTTCTGACTTTGTACAAGAACATGATTGAGCGTGCACGCGATCCATGTCTTCCTCTAGTCAAAGATGTCGGGAGAGGTAGGTCTGCTGCGTCTGGTGCCTTTCGTGAAACTGACCGACTTTGGTTTATTTTTCTGTTTTAAAGCTTTTTTGCCTATGGTCGTACGCGATGTTGTTCTTGTGGGTTGCGTCAAAGCTATACTTGTCCTTGCTCTTTTTTGCGGAGGGCCAGACATCAATCGTTGCCCCAACTCGCCAGCCCTGCGTTTAGCAGCGAGTTTCACACCTTGTCCGTTCAAGACGTCTTGAGCTAAATCTATGCCACTCCTTAAAGCCTGTTTTCCCACAGCTTTGGCCCCTCGCTTCAGAAGAGGTACGGCCGATCTGAATAGTCCGCGAAAGATTCCTCCTAACCCATATCCACGCTGTATAGAACGACCTCGATACACCATCATCTTAGGAGAAGTAGGACGACCGTCTCTGTCTGAAATGAAGTGTCACGATCAGTCTCCCTCGTTCAAATGGAACGGGTTGACCAAAGTGATTTCTTATATTGATTTCAACCCCCTCGAATCGTCTCCTGGCCAGTGTTAGGTACTGCGGCACGTGAATGACGTGGTCCACCACAGCATCATCTTCTCCCTGTACTTTAACGATACGTAAGAGTGGGACTTTCACCCCTCCCACTAAACGGTCTTGGATCAGGTCGCAGTACACGTACAGCGACTCGAGCCCCGCATTCAAATCTGGTTGATGTGGAGCCTGTATCCAGCTGCCGGATATGTAGGATTTTGTCTTCCACCCTAATTTTTCTGCCAACGGCCCAGTCAAGTAGGTCTTGGTGGTCGGGATATTGGCCACCATGGGCGGAAGAACCATGGTCACTCTTTTCGCGATGGCGTTATAGGCAAACATGTCGTGCTGCTTGAAGAGGTCGGCATATCGCACGGCCGCCGCTTCGTTCAGGACCTTCACTAGTTGTGAAATGTTCTTGTAGTATCCGCTGGGGACCGTGATTACCTCGTACTCTCTCCCTCCTCCTTCGATCGTTTCGTCTGCCATGAAATACAAGAGCGTATTGTCACCTTCCCTAACATTCATCCAGCTGTGGGGATATTGGATTTCGGACAGGGACACCTCCCAGTCTCCCTTCAGCTCGATGGGGTGTGATAATTTGGTTCTGTAGGTAGATAACGTGTTGTCTGGGTAAACGTCCATACTCCCGTCACTCGGGAGTGTGACATAAAACGACGCAGCCATATTGAGACACTGTCCTGTAATGTCCGACGCCTGGGGGAGTGCCCGTATTTATCATATTTGTAGCATATCCTCTTCGCGCACCCAACTGTTGAACTTGCTAGGATATCCTTTCCACTTGACCAAGTATTCCGTCTTCTTTCCGCGTCGTCTCTTGTCAAGGACGACTTCCACTTGATAGATGTCGTCGTCTTTCTTTGCAACTTTTTGTAGTTCTTCTTCGTAGAACGTCCCCTTCAGCTCCTCTCCGTGATAATCTTTCACACGGTACACGGGAGGATGCCGAGGGATTCTTTTCCAAATGGTAAAGAGCTCGTCGGTCCAGTTCGGCGTGTAACCTTTTTCAAGGCGCATCTTGGACTTGCTGAGTCTCACCCAGTCTCCAATTTCAAATCTGAACGTGTGTGCTGGCTTTCTCACCTTGCGGGGGCGCGGTGTGCCACGGTCTCCGTACAGGGTATACCACACAACATTTTCGTTCTTCCTATTAACATCAACCGGTGCCCTTTTGATACTCCTGTGATGTGAGTGATTGTAGGCCCACACCAAATCGTCGAGGACGTCAATGTATCTATTAGTGTTTACCGCCGTGAAATATTTCCACATCTTCGTTTTCAGCGTGCGATTGAACCTTTCTACGACGCTGGCCTTGGTTTCCACGTTGAATGTTGTAAAGAATTCGATCCCTTCTTTTTTCAGCAATGTCTGAAAGTGTCGGTTGAGAAACTCGGTTCCCTGATCTGTTTGTAAGCATCTTGGTTTCCGTCCGTCCTTGGCTAGGATGGTTTGAAAGGCTTCCACCAGAGTGGTGCCCTTCTTGTCTTTGATTGGCACGACCCAGGCGTATTTGGAGAATATGTCTATACAGGTAAGGAGATAGCGATATCCGTCGTTGTGTCGGGAGAGAGATGACATGTCAACTAAGTCGGCCTGGAATTGGTCGTTCATACCGCCTACTATCACTCGAGCTCTTTCAAACCGACGCCTGATGGGTTTGTGTAAGGTGTATGGGTCTTGAGACTGCAGCCACTCTCCTACTTGCTTTCTGCTGATTCCGAACTTGCTACCGACGGCTCGGTGGAGCCGTCCCACTCCACTATACCCTGCAGGGTGTCTAGGGTCGTAGTAAACCCCGTGGAGGACGTCGTGCCATGCTTCATCTTTGTCGGTGGGTTCGGTCTCTCTGCTCCGTCCTGCGTTCCTGGTCCCCTCCTTCTCCGACGATTTTTGGAAACCATCCCAGGCCGCGGAGGAAAATGAACATTCGCCCTCCTATGCACATGAACGCACAATGAATGCGTTCCACCAGCCCCCAAGCGATTTCACCGAAGTTAAAGACGTTAGGAAGACAAGACATGCTGCTGCTTCTAACTCTTTCACTGTAAGACTGAGCTTACAACTTACTAGTCTCGGTATTTATACCGTCTATCTACTTATCTATCTAAACCACTCTTAAGAGACCACACACACACACACACACACAGATATCAAGTCTTTGCCTGCGTTCGGACCACAGGAAGCTTTATTCAGGACAACACATCACAGACCAGCAATGTCGCTCAGCAGCTTGTCGGTCAGGACCATCGTGTTCTCTGCCACAGCTTCAAGTACCGCATCCATCTTCTCACTGTGCTCCTGCAGCTCCTTCCACTGTTCTGCAGATAGGTTGAGCCCTCTCTTGCCCGGTAGTAGATTGTCGCCGTCTTCTGGGCTTCGCCGATAAAATTCTCTGATTGCCACCACCGCTGACCCTTTGAAGACCTCCACGATGGCGTATGTCAGGTTTCCCAGGTGAAAGCGGCGAGGTGAGAACATGGTCGTGTCGTAGGGCATGGCGGCGAACGTACAAGCCAACAGAGCTGCCGACACACCGGACATGTTGCGCTTAAGAGTCCTCCATTGTTCGGGGGTTAGAACCACCCCCTTCTTGCCACCCTTCCATACGTCCTCCTGGTCAGGCCGTGGTCTGTAGAAATAACGCATTGCCAGCGTTGCTTTTCCTTTGTAATGTCCAGCGGTAGCGAAGACGTTTTCTCCCAAGGGGAATCTGATTTCTGCTCCGTCGTTACCACTGCTGATGTGGATCTTCGGTTTTGGGGACGGTACGGGGTCGGCAGGAAAACTTGCCGTCGAATACGGCGATGCGTCCGCAGACGGTTCGTCGCGTGGCGGGGGTGTCTGTGTTGTTGCGTCGGTGTACAGATGCCCCTGGTATATCGGCTGGTTCAGCCAATTGCTGATAAAATCTGTAGCAGCCATCGCTCGCCGAGGAGTTGTCCGGTACTTGGCAGTCCGAAACGCAGAGAAGTCGCAAGTGAAGAGGGACAAAGTTCGTCTGTCTTTGTACAGAAATCGTCTTACACCTTGACCAATCAGCAAGCAGACTTGTTGACGTGTCCAGACACGTTCTAGATCCTGTTCATAGTCACGATACAATAACGCAAACAGGCGCACTCCACATACGACAGATAAGGTCCACAACAGCCACGAATATCGACGGTTCTGCAGCGTCGATCATCCCACTCCACCCTCCGCGTCGTAACAGCCACCTCCCCGCTATGGCGCACATCAACTCGGCTAACTCTGAGCATATCGCGTTTTCTTGGCTCGTTTGTGACTCGTGTAACTTGATGCGTACATCCAAAGCAAAAATCATTGCGGTGATAACACGCCCCCAGTTCAATCCGTCCTCGTTAAGCACGTTTTCTAGCAAGTCTCTCAGTCGTGAAGACCCGTTTGTAGTTGTGGTTGTTGTTGTTGTTGTAGAGACAAAACAGCAGAGGAGATCAGCCCACTCTTTCCTCTCCGTCACATCGTTTGACACTTGCACAACCTTACGGTATATGGCTCTATTTTCCCGTCGCCCGTTTCTAGGAAACACGTTGGGAGCTCTGTGGTGGAGCAGGTGACGAAATATGTCTTCCGTTTGGGTTTTCAACACCTCCATACTGACACAGCGATACATACACAACCTAGATAATACCGCCCGACACGCCCTCCCGGGACGCGTGAGAAAGGTTTGAAGTGACCGCGCTGGGAATCAACAGGTCCCGGCTTAATTAAAAGAACAAAGGATTAACCCATGCCCAGCACGACCTCCTGGGGATACAAACTGTCCATCCTTAAGTAACGATGCCGCCCGACACACCCTCCCGTGGCGACTGGTATGCCACATTGACCTTCACGTGACCTCTACACCTCCGCCTGACCACACCCAGTCTGCCCCGCTGCGCTCCTCCACACGCCACATCCACGCGCCACACTCCACGCGCCACAATAATACCTACTCTGTCCACCCTATACTACT